AAATAACATGAATGACCGACCACATCTTTGACTCTTCCAACATATTGCAAAAAAACAAAACAAAAAACCGACAGGTCAACATTTTTTTTTGTTTTTTCTTCATTTTTAGTGGCTGTCGTGTAACATCGAAGTACAAGTACCAAGTAAAATAAAACTAAAGAAAAAGTACATAACGTAAGGTGTACATGAACTCTATAGATATAATACCAGTCCCAATGGTTTAGCAAAGAAGCCAGTCTTCTCAGAAAACCCCCTCTCTCACTTGAGTCCGTTTTCTAATATTTGAATCTTAAAAAGAAATTGCCCCGAAAAAGCGGCAGAAAATGCACAAAACAAAGTGACAGTGCCTAAAAAGGTCACACCTGCCTTTTCACATGGCTCTCGGAACTACACGCAGTGCAGGATGCAGAACGGTACCCATGGGCTAGCTGCAGTTGTAACCCAGTGCTAGTAGTATATCGCAGCTGCTTGAAAGGGAGAGAGGCCACCTCCTTCATGCCGTGGTACGGGGAAAAGCAATACCAATGAGCCGCAGGCGTCGAGCACCTTGTACTTCTGTGCATCCACAAAGCATTTCTGGGACAGCAACGACAGGAAACTTCAGTAACACAGTGAACAAAAAAGAGACCAAAAGAGTAGGCATGCAGGCAAGCGTGAATTGTAGACACAGCTAAAACTCAAGGCACAAGGAAGCAGAAAGAGGGCACATGAAGAGGCCTTTCGACTTCCTTGCATGTCGGGTTTGAGTCTCGTACCGGGTAGTAAGAAGCAACAATACTGGTTCCCTAGCCTTTCCTGTCTCAAGAAGCCTTGGAACAAAGATATCCTACTCGTCATTTATCTCGTTTTCTCTTCTCGGGCAGATTAAAGTGCACGCTGCGGCAGTAAACTGCCTCCAAAGGACTCAACTCGCACTTCTTAGAGAATGATTGGCGAGCAACTTCTCCATTGTGTACTACGTGCACTTTATGTTTTAAAGGGGTACTCCGGCATTTTCTTCATTGTCCCCGATTTGCCTAAAAACTTGCTAAACACATCAACAAACATCGCTGAAATAGTAACCGAAATATCTGGCCGAAATAGCTTTTTTTCGCAGTCACAGAATTTACAATTTTGGTCATCATTGTGTTTTTCGAAGTGAAAAGCTCTACTGGCAACATTGAAATTGAGACGTCATGGGAAGGCAAAGGTTCACTCTTAGGGCTGTAGACTTTGTTCACAACTGATCACAAACAGTTTCATGGTGTCAAAAGAATGCTTTGGAAGGTTGCCCCAAATCCCACCCAGCAGCACGAAACAAATGCTCGGCATAGTTCATTTCTACACAGCCGCTCGAACCGTGAGCCTGTCCCATCCTGTGACACAAACATGTAACTAGAGGGGGTTCATGGAGCCCGGCCCGGCCCGGCCCGCCGCTGCCGCCCCCCGCCCCCAAAACAAAATCCTGGCTATGTGCCTGCGTGACGTCACGGCAATGAAAAGCACAAGTATATTTCAATCTTGGATTGGCATCATACACGACAGTGGTAGGAACATGACTTGTGTCGAGCTAGAGAAGCCATATTGGGGGCTACCCCAGCTACGTCCACACTGGCTATCATGGCAGTTATGTGCGATGCAGACTAAAAAGAAGTCTCGTTGCATTGTTAACACAGACATCAAGTCCACTAGGAAAGGCCAGCTGTGCCATCCACCTGTTCATAAGCGAGCTGGAGTTCATCAAAGCACAACCGAGAATCTCTCGGAAGTACTTGGTTCCTTTTCAGCAGTTATTGAATGAAAGCACAGTGCAGTGGTGATTACCATCAGCACAGCCTTGCCACTGGCACTGCTGTCCCTCGAATGGCACATGCACGACATGGCCTGCAAGCCACATATATCCCTAAAAGAAAGCTGCATAGGATGAACTTACCGTGGCTAGCGTCGCCACCCAGCGAGCTTGCACAAACCCTCTGCATGGCACGCAGTGCTGTTCAGAACAGAGCGGCACTGGCTAGCCAGTTAATGCGAAGGCTTGTAGTGTCTTGCCGCTGCCTTGGCAAAGCTGCAAGTCACCTCTTTCACGCCTTGTGGTGCTCATCAGCTTCAAAAGAAACGGTGTTGAATCGCGACCGGCTATAACCTGTCGCACAAGGGAGAAAAGGGTGTGAATGTGCAGACTCCTATCTGTTTGCTTTTGTCTAGCGTGTGAGTTTTGTTTGAGAAGAAAACAACAATGACACTTCTTTCACAGTAATATGCAAAACAAAAACGAGAACGGCTCGGTTATTAATAAGTTGTGTGCAGCAGAGGCACGGGTGCGAGGGCGTAGCTCCGCAGAATGTTCTTTTTGCACGGCTGCTCGTGCAAAAAGGGCGCTTTTGTGCTCGGGCCTGTGCCTTTTCTGCACACAACGTATGTTACAGAGTGTATAGCACGCCTTCGAGAGCACTCGCGTGCGGCGAGAAATCCATCATATACAGGGTACGATCGCAGGAAACCTCGCAGGGGTGCAGGAAGCTGCAAGTGCACGGTGCACCAGAATGTGAAACTAGAGGTGGTAATAGTATTTCACAGTTTGAGAATATGACGTTACTTGACGTAACTGCCTTACCGGCGGATGATAAGGGCCATCGGAGCACGACCAACTATTTGTTGTGATCGGGGCATTCGATTGGACGCGGGTTGGTAAAGATTTGAAAAACACGAAAGAATAAAACATGTAGGGACGAAGACAGACAGCGCAGTTCTTTGTTGGCATGAAATGTAAGATCAAGCACATTATTCTGTCGGATCAAATGGTTTTGTTGAATTAGGTTTAGCTCGCAAGTCAGCCGTTCTTCGGCGGGCTTTCAGCTTTCTGCGATGGTTGTTTTAATCGTGAACGCAGGCTCAAACAATGTAGGCAGCGGCGCCAAATAGATCTGAAACTAAGAAACAGCTCGGACGCCTGGAACGAACACACATAGAGATCACATCACAGGAAAACTCAAACCACCCACCTTTCGTTCGACGACGGTACGTCAGGCACGAGGTTTCCGATGTTTCTCCGGGCGTTGAGGAGACCGAGGAGACCGCGTCTGTTTCCGTGCTCCTATTGGTCGTGACGTCACCAAATTTCATCCAATAAAGTGCGCGCCGAAGTTTTCTCTAGTCGCCGGTGTGTGTACTGACAATGCCTGCACTGATCGGTGCGTGCGGCAGCTGCTCAAAAAAAAAAGACTGAATGTGGGGCACAGTCATTTAGGGTGAAACGTGTCGAGCTTTCAATATTTTTTTTAAAATAAATGAAAATTGGAAACGTATTTTCAGTGACTGGTTTCTGCTGATTTGACCGTTATTAGGGACGTTAGGGACGTTGCCATGGGTAGCGGTAGCTACCGCCCGTTACAAATAGTACAGACGTCAGCAACTACATCCATTCAGTCACTCGCTATGGTCACGTGACCAACGTGACATTGGCAACATTGGCGCCTTTGTGCAAGTTCGAAGCACGTTTTCGCCACAGTGGTTGGCACTTTACTGACAAGAAAACATCGCACCCTCAAAACAAGCACTCTAAAGATTTCATGCACACAAAAGAAAGAGCCACTTACACAGCGCTGTGTAAGTGGCTCTTTCTTTTGTGTGCATGAAATCTTTAGAGTGCTTGTTTTGAGGGTGCGATGTTTTCTTGTCAGTCATGAACAACCAATTCGCCCGAGCCTCCGTTTTAACAGGTTGACACTTTCCCCGAGTTTTAGTTTTAGAAGAGTAATGTGTGCCGTTTAAATGTCGTAGAAACGACAGCAAGCCGCTCCTGATGTGTTTGTCATGCCACTGCAACAGGCTTGCGACAACAGCGTTCAAGTTCATGCCTCGTCGCGCAGAGGCTGCAGGAGCTGGAAGTTCCTCTGACGACCATTCAGGTGACACCCTTTTCATTTCATTTCATTTCATTTATTCAACCCTTAAAGGCCCAATGGGCATTACATAAGGGGGGGCAAGGAATATAAAATCAAAAATACAGAACACCGCACGAAGCGAAAAAAAAAAAAAAAACACATCAATTATACATTTGTACACGCTATAAAAATAGCAGGGAAAATCCACACAGAAACAAATGAGGTCAAAATCACCAACATCTCGTCTATGTACGCACTCGACAAAAAAAAAAAAAAAAAAAAAATTAAAAGAATAAACAAAATAAGAAATATATAATAAAATATAAAAATATAAAAATATGGTAGCCAACTATGAAAACAATGTAGAAATCGCCTCACAGAACAGGCCGGTGTCACTAATGTCGACTATGGTGTTGGGAAGGTCGTTCCAATCGCGGATGCCTCGCGGGACAGCGGAGTTAATAAACGCATTAGTTTTACCGGTTAGGTGCTTGAAACTTCTGCTATTAGTGGTTCGATGGGAAGATCTGTTAGGAGGCTCACGAAAAGGTATATTATTATCGTGATAGTAGAGCTTATGGATGAGGCACAGAAGAGCAATTTTTCGGCGGTTTTCGAGTAGAGGGAGAGAACACTGATCTTTTAGAGTAGAAACACTTATGTTATACGAATAACTCGATGTTATAAAACGTGCCGCTCGATTTTGGACGGCTTCAATACGTTTGGTTAAGTAGACTTGATGGGGGTTCCAGATTGGTGAAGCATAATCAAGTTTTGGGCGAACGTAAGTTTCGTAGGCTAGTTTACGGAGTTGAGGATGTGCTGCCTTGAGGTTACGCTTAATGTATCCGAGGGTTCGAGAAGCATTAGCAATTACGTTGTTAACGTGGGTGTAGTATTTTGATTTGCACGAGATGGCGCTACTTGACATCTCCTTTTTACAGTAGCCATCTCGTGCATCCATGTAAAAGAATAAAAAGGACAGCACGCGACGGCATGAGCCGCGCGTGATCTGCGGCCTCATCGGCCAGTGTTCGCCCCGCTCCTGAATCCGTTGGTTGTCCTTTCTTCTCGCTCCGGCGACCGTCCAGGTCCGCTCGGGGCATGTAGTTTCCCGGCTACGTCGAACGTGAGTCACCGGCGCTTGCGTCCAATGTAGCCAGGCTTTAGAGCACCGCCGCGTCGGCGCAGAATATAACATTTTGGCGACGAGGATGGGATATTTGTTTTAATATGTAGCATTTCCTCTTTTGTAACCCGGGATTCGGGAGGGGGCTTCACTCCGCGTCGCGGGTCAGTGGTTGAGGAAACCGGCGCGTAACTGTATTCATGAAATGTGTTCCTTTTTGTTCCGGGTGAACGGTAGTCATATTTTGCGGAAAGGCCGCGTTTGATGAGTTTCGGGGGGGAGGCATTAGGCCTAGGTTTTCAGTACGTTCCATTTTCATCGTGAGATGACTTCGTCATCTTCGTCTTCGAGCGGCCCAACGGCGTTCCCGCCGCCGGCTGTCTTTTTGGCAGTGCCCGGTCCGCCGATAGTAGCTTGGCCGGCATGGAAGCGTGCTTTTCTGACTTTTCTTGACGCGTCGGCGTTGCATCTCGTAGAACCGTTCCGAAAAAAAGCCATCCTGTTTTCGCTGTTGGGCACTGAGGGCCAGCGCATCGTGGATGCATTTCAGCTGTACGAGACGGTTGCGGTGGAGGGGACTGACGAGTTCCAGGTTTTTCTGGAGGCAGTCGAGAAGCATTTTGAGTTTTCGGGTAGTATCGCGCTTGAACGCCAGAAGCTGCGCGGTTTGTTCCAACGTCCTGGCCAGTCAGTAACTGAGTTTCTTGCCGTGTTGCGCCATCAGGCTTCGTTTTGTGCTCTGGGGAACGCCCTCGATGAAAGACTTTGCGAGGTTTTCTTGGAAGGCCTGGAGTCCAGACGCGTTCAGGATCGCGTTCTGCAGGAGTGCGAGGGCAGCGAGCTGCCAACGCTGTCGCGGGCTATCCAGATCGCTCGCCAGTACGAGCAGAGAGCGAAGACGGCCGCAAGTTTTCGGCGGCGAGAGTCGCAAGTCCCGGTCGCGGCAGAAGTCCAGCGTGTCCAGATCGAGAAACGTCAAACGGCAGCAACACAAGATGGCGGCCAAGCGTCGTCTTCTTTCATCGAGCATGGGCAAGATGGCTACAGCGGCTACCCTCCCTGGCCTCAACCTGGCTACCCCCCGTCGCAGCTTGGACCCAGGATGCCTTGGGCTCCGGTGGCCTCCGGTCACGTGCCCCGTTTTCCGGCGAGGGTGTTCCAGCCTCAGCGTGGGCGTGAGCCCGCTCCGCCTCGGACGGGTGGGATCGGAGCAGACGACGCCTGCTACTTCTGTGGACGCCGCCGTCATGATCGGGCGGTTTGCCCGGCGTCTCAAGCGACATGCTTCTTATGTGGAAAGTGGGGACACTTTGCAGTGGCGTGTCAGAGTCGTCGCCCGCCGGCGGCTGCCTTCACCTACGATCGGCGACAGGCATCGTTCCCGGTTCAAGGCCGTGGTACTCGGCGGACCTTCGCCGACAGACAGTTCAGAGGGGACCGGCCCGGCCGGGTTAACGTGGTCGGCCAGTCGCTGTCTCCTGAGGAGCTGCCAAGCGTTAGGCTGACGGAGGAACCTGTGGTCGTCGGGACGGCCGAGCGACGAGAAGGCGGCAGCATGCGTCGTGACGCCTTCATGGCCGAGATCACGGTAAATGGGACCCCTCTTCGTCTTCTTGTTGATACCGGTTCATGTGTGTCGATCCTAAATGAACGCATGTTTAACGAAGTTAACAAGCAGCGGAGGATAAAGTTACATCCGCCGTCGACGCCTCTCGTCCACTATTTTTATTTATGATCCATTTTTTTTTTTATGATTTATGATCCATGAGAGGTTAGAAGTCAGGTGAACTCCCAGATATTTGTAAGAAGAAGCAACGCTAACAGGCGTGTTACCAAGAGAATAGGGGAATGAGGAAAGGGTTACTTGTTACTTTGTTACTTGTCAATAAGCTTTGTTCTGTTCGCGGCGCTTTGACGAGCATCAGGAAAACGTTAGCGAAGTCCTGATGCGGATTCGGGCGCGCTACAAGTTCGAGGCGTGCTCCAAGTGTCAGTGCGAGCTCCCGACAGAAACGCTGTACAGTATACTGTAAAGGCCCTGTCACATTGAGGAAACACGGCGGAAACATGAACAAAACATGTTTCTCAACAGTCGGGAAACATGTCGGCTGTCGGCTCTGTTGTCCGACAACCCTGTCACATTGAGGAAACAGCAACACAACATGGACGACAGCGACAATGTTGTCTCGGTGTGACAGCTTTTGTCAACGGAAACCTCGACAACTTGTGTCGGACGACACGTGTTGCCCATTTCGGTGGCTGAGCAAATTTTTTTTCCAGCAACACGGCAACATCTATATTTTTCTGTACAGATAGTCGCACGAGAATACTTCAATAATAACGTCAAGCGTGAAGGGCAATTTTGAACGCGGCTTCTTGCGCAGCGGCAGCTGATCGTCAGAATCATCTGAATCGATGGCACAAAGAAGCACCCTGTCACACTGCGGAAACAGTCGGAGAACTTTGTCCTTGAACACGAGGAAAACATGTTTTCGGGGACCCTGTCACATTGTGGAAACAGCAACAGTCCGGAAACATGTTGCTGTAGTCCGAAAACCATGTTTCCCAACTTGTTCTCCGACACTCGGGGAACATCCTGTCACACCGAGAAAGCGTGTTGGAAGAACACAAATTGACTCCTCTCCTGCGCGCTGCCTCCCTCTCTCTTTCGCCCTCGTCTGCCCGGCCGGCTCGGCTAAGCTACAAGCGCGAGCTCTGGTCTTTCAGCATCCCTGCCAAGCACGCACGCTCGTACAGTGCAAGCACTGTTCTGGGCCAGATGCTCGCGCGGCTGCGTCTGGACCGAAGCTGAAACGAAGTATAGGCGGCCAGGCTCAGATCCGCTGGCTCCGCTCGCCCCTTGAATCGTTGCCATTTTGGATCGCCGTCTCATCGACGTCGCCCTACCGTAGTCGATTCATCAGCCGCGCGAACCATCTCGTGTTCTCTGGATTTGGCGGTTGCGTTCTGCTACAGGGCTAGACCCTTGCACTACTAGCAAGATGGCCATCCTGTGCTACCCATTCTATTCAGTGGCAGAGACATCGGAACTGTTCAAGAGATAAGGAGGCAACGGTGGTGATGGGGGTAATGGGGGGGATTCTCTCCCCCCCCCCCCCCCCCCCCCCCCCCGCATTGTTTCTTTTAAAGGGCACATGCAAAGGGAAAAAAACATAGTTTTCAAAACATCCTGGTTGGGAAAAAGAAGTCACAAAACAATCTTGCAACGAAAAAACAAAAAAATTTTAGAGGTATATTTATGGCGCGATACGAATTTGTAGTTGGCGCCCGCTGGTGCCGCGAAAAAGTGGCCTTTATTTATCACGTGACTGGTACATATTTGTCACGTGGTGCTTGCGCTCTTTCGGAAGCTTCCTATGGTTTCTAAAGTAACTTATTCATCTTTGTTTGAAGTATAACAAAAAACTAAGATGGATAAGTAACTTTTAGAGCCCAAAGGAAACTCCTTAAAAAGCGCAAGCAGACGTGATAGACCTGTGCGCCCCCGAAGCAGACAAACTTGTGCGGCGACAGCTGTGTGGAGAAACGCGTTGAAGCGGCGTCGTACAACGCTCAGCGTGCGGTGGCGGTGTGACTTCGTGGCGGCGGCGAGGCAACGCGGCCACGCACAGGCCTATCATGTGACCAGCAGCGGCTCCCGCGAGCGCCAGCTACGAATTCGTTTTGCACCGTAAATATAGTTCTAAATTTTTTCTTCTTCATTGTAAATTTGTTTTTTAATATTCTTTTTCCATCTAGCCTGTTCAAAAAAAAAAGTTTTTTCTTTGCATGTGTCCTTTAAATTAACAAGGGAGTTTTAGAATAAGAAACTCAATTTTAGCGCATGCTTCACAATTCAAATAATTTGTAATATTATTTTGAATTCTGTGATGCCACTTCCATGTCCCTTTTCAAAATATTTTTGAAAATTATTTTGATGTTTTGCGCTTGGAACTTTTAACAGCTTTGGAACTTCGGAGTCCATACTGCTAAGTGGTAGAAAGCGGTGGTCAAAATATATTACCTTGCTTGCAGGCGGTGTCATGGTTCAGCGCACATTTTTCGAAAACAAATGTTGTGCAATCGACTGCAGTTTTTAGGACCTTTTTGAAAAAACCACTAAAAAGAAAAGAAAAACATTTTTTTAGACAGTTTGAATGGGCAGCACATGTCAAAAAATAAAATTTAAAGGGGCCCTGCGAGCATATTTAAGCGTCTACCTTTTTTGCGGTTTTCACATCCCTCGGGGTTCGGGCAAGCCAGTGGGCACGAGGAGAGTAACTAAATAACAGTGCGTCATATTTTAACTGGACAATTCGGAAACCTCCTCCACCTACAAGGGCGGCCCGTGGTGCCGGAAGCGTGCAATATGTGACGTCTTAGGTTCTGGGCTTACTACTGGTCGGAGCCACTAAAAGCTTCTAAACACAAATGCAGTTTATAAAGTGTGGAAACAAGAAATGACCCGTCGCGGTCATTTCTTCTTTCCACACTTTATAAACTGTATTTGGGGGGGTCGGGGTCGGTCGAATAAATAAGACCAATTTTTTGACATTTTACAGAAGTGATGTCACAGACATCAAAATAATTGTAGAAATATTTAAATGGTGGACGTCGAAATAGTCGTGGCCTTTTAGAATAGCGTTCCTCTGCCACGATGCAAAGACCCAAGCATCTTGCGTTTGCAACGCTGCCAAGATACAGTAACAATTTGTATTTCGCACGAAATGCTGAAATTGGAGAGGAGAACTAGGGTTTTTGTTCAGAGAAACGTTTTAAATTCGCTTAAAAATGAGAATGCAGTGGGAGCGGGTGATCGGCCGTAACCGTACCTTCGTCGAAAAACGTTTGCTCGTCACATACAGCATGTGACTGGCAATCATTGCCCACTTTGCTGGTTCTTCCAAACTATTTGTGATGTGTGCCTCCCAAAGGAGGGCATTGTCGTCCTGTATTGATAATCAGTCACGAGAATGCCGCCGACGTTGTGCTTGCGATGACTGCCAAAGTGGCCACAGCCACGGTCCTGGAAGAGAAAAGGCATAATGTTCAAACGCGAAAATAGACATAGTAAACTGCGAAATGGTCACTCTGCGTAGTCCCCTGTTGGTAGTGATGGGATGTGGCGGACGAATCGTCTTTGGGTAGGCCTTTAGTGACCCAGTTGATGCCCTGCGATTTCTTGCCCTTCCGTGACCAGGCGTGGCAGTTCCAGTCTTGCGGAGACGAGGAGCTTATCAATGAGACACAGCCGGTCCGAGTTTCGCCGAAATGAAGAGAAGCAGCCGAGCGTCGGGACTCGTCGCCGGCCCTGAATCGCCTCTCACTCACCCGCAATCTCGTTTTTATCGTCACTCCTCTTCTTTCTTTGCTCTGCCCAGTCATGACGGTTTCATCGTGCAACCATTGTGGAAGACTGTTGACTATTTCACACATCTCCGGCATTGTAGGTCTCATAATCTAATATACATCAATTATGCTTTCCTGAACTTCTCAGAGATAGTCAGTTTCATCCCAAGAGTTTGCTTGGCAACAAGCCTTTAGTTCCGCTGAGCCGTGTTTTAGATTTTCTGACGAGATATCTATACACAAATTTTAACGTTTAGCTTCTGATTGATTTTCTTCTTAGTGTGCTCCAAACACATTTAGCTTGGTGCACTATAACTAGAGAAAAACTTGGAAAAACACCTGCTGATACGATTTTGGGCAATTTGGAGTTTTCCAATAAACTCCTAATTTCAATGTACCAATGCCAAAAAGAAAACAGTATTTTGCAAATAAGTTTGGACAGAGCAGAGGGTCAGTGGTCTTGAGAAAATGTCACCGTAGTTTTCTTTGAAATGTTGGAGCATCGATAAAAGGAATCTTACCGCTCATCTCGTCAATGTTCATCAGGACAGCAGGTGTTTCGGGTCATGACAAACGCCACTGTACTGGTTTCCAGTTTGGGCTGTACTATTTGTTGTTAGAGAAGGGAGGGCTTGTGTTTTTGTAAATGTGACAGCTGTGAAGATTTCATACAGGGGGTAAGATGGGGTGGGCAGTTGAAGCTTCTGTATTACCCTTTACCACGCAGCTGCAGAGTAGCTTGATGGATAGGATGCAGTGTAACTGCTGCACCAAACTGCGCCAGAACGAATAACCTGCTGCATGCTGCTCCAAAGGCTGTATTTGTGCACAATTTGCACCATACCTGCGCCGAAAGGGAGCTGTTCCCGAAAAGAAAACTGAAAGTGTCTGGCACGTGGCGTTGTTGACAATGCCACTGAAATTAAGTTTTTCTTTTTTTTTTTTTGATGCGTAAGTACTATGTGCGAAGAGTAGGGCTTTGCGAATATTCTAATTTTCTACTAGTAGTTTCAAATAATGTTATATTCGCTTTTAAAGTAACTGCAATATTCCTACTTTTTCAAGTGTTGATTGAGGCGGGTTCGCTTGTCCTGAAGTCCATTTGGTTGCTTCAACTTGCTGCTCCGCTCTCCCCTCCGCACCTTGGCGAATGCATTGTATTTGTGTTTTTCGTTGCATTTCACTGCGCTTTCTTGCCTTACTTCGGAAACTAGTCTGATAAGTCTACTCGACGACTAA